CACTTCTGAGGACCCCCACACTCCCTGGGATGGTTCTCATTCTGAGGATCCCCAGATCTCCCCTATATCTCCCACTTCTGAGGACCCCCAGATCTCCCCTATATCTCCCACTTCTAAGGACCCCCACACTCCCTGGAATGGTTCTCATTCTGAGGACCCTCAGATCACCCCTAGATCTCCCACTTCTGGGGATCCCCAACCCTAGGAGAGACACTCATGCATCCTCTTCCTCCTGACTCTGGTGACCCCCAACACCCAGAACTGCCCAAATTCAAGACCCCCTTAGTATTCCTTGCCCCAGCCCTTTCTGCTCCATCTCTCCCGCCTGAGCACCATCAACCCCCAGGTGGAGGTACCCACCCTCTCTTGGTCCCCTATGACACATTGACGGCCAAGGAGAAGGCTAGAGACCGAGAGAAGGCACAGGAACTGCTCAAATTCCTACAGATGAACGGCTACGCGGTGACACGGTACATGCATGGGAGAAGGGCCAAGGGACCAGCTTAGGAATAGGGGAGGCTGGGAGGACCTTCATTGACTTCTGCCCTGCTCTGCTGTGCTCTCCCAGGGGACTGAAGGACATGGAACTGGACACATCCTCCATTGAAAAGAGATTCGCCTTTGGGTTCCTGCAGCAACTTCTCCGCTGGATGGATATTTCACAGGAGTTCATCGCCCACCTAGGTGAGCCCTACCTGACAGTTTCCTTTTTGCCAAGGTATCTCCCCCGCTACACACACGCACACACACACGCACACACACACACACACACACACACACATGCATATATATACACACTCACCACATACACACACACACACACACAGACACTTGGCCCCTAAGAAGTCTCCTCACCCACAGATCCCAGAGAGCCCTGTCCACCCAAAGATCTCCCCAGAAATTTCCTCTCAGACCTCCTAATTACCCTCTTCTTTCCCACCTCCTACCTCTCTCCACACACACACACACACACACACACACACGCACACACATGTAGAGGCTGTGGTGAGCAGCGGACGGGTAGAGAAGTCTCCCCACGAGCAAGAGATCAAGTTCTTTGCCAAGGTAGGTGCTCAGGGCTGGGCCAGGCCCGGGATTGAGGAAAGGGACAGAGAGTTGGGGCCAGTTCTGGGGTTATGCCTCTCACTCGTCTCTCTCCCCATCCCCACCAGATCCTGCTACCTCTCATCAAACAGTATTTCAACAATCACTGCCTCTATTTCCTGTCCACACCAGCCAAGGTCCTAGGCAGTGGGGGCCATGCCTCTAACAAGGAAAAGGAGATGATCACCAGGTGTGTGCCTTAGGATGCCCCATAACCCTGGCCCCTAGGCCTGGCCACCTCCCAGCCTCTTGCCCCACACTCCTGAAGAATTATGACCCCACACCCCATCTCCTGCATCCCAGGATGCCCTGACTTCCTTTCTGCCCTCTGGCTTTGAGGATTCCTAAGGGACAACAAGACCCGTCTAGCCACGCTGGGGCTCTGTAAGGAACCAACCCCTCAACCTTTGAGGGACCGGTTCTGCCTATGTCCTGAGTGTCAGACATTGACTCATCCTATCATGCCTTCTCACCTTCTTCTCTCCACACCCCACACCTCCCCTCTGTCCTTCCCTCTCTTGTCCTTCTGTCCCTTCATTTCCTATCCCTCTCTGCCTTTTCTCCCATCCTGCCCCCCACATCTCCCTTGCCCAATACTATCCTCTCCTCTTTTTCTGTCACTTTCAATCCCATCCTCTTGTCTCCTGCTCTCTGTCCCTCCGTGCCTTCTTCCTTTCATCGTTCCACCTCTTGTCTTTTTATCCCCTTGTTCCTTCCGTTTCTCTGCTGTGTATCCCTCTAATCCCCGTGATTTATTACCTTCCTATGCCCCTTCTTACACATTCCCCTTTCCTCTCTCCCCTTATTCCTTCTCTCCTTTCCTCCTCCTGTCTCTCTTCCCTTCTATCTTATCCTTTGCTCTTTGTCTCTTTCTCCCCTTCCTTCTCCCACTCCTTCCATCCCAATCATCCCCCTCTCCATGACCCTTCATCCCTGTTTCCCTCCTTTCTCCCACTCTTCTTCCCTCCCCATATCCCTTCATTCCCCATCCCTCCATCCCTCTGTCTCCTATTTCCCTCTGTCCTTCTCTCCAGCCTGTTCTGTAAACTCGCCGCTCTGGTCCGGCACCGAGTCTCTCTCTTTGGTAAGAATTCTTCCCTTCGGTGCCTCCCCGCCCCCCATAATCTTTCCCTCCCTGCTCCCCCACCAAATTCCTCTCATTCTCTCATCCCTGCCCCCAGCCGGGACCCACATTCAACTTGGGGATGGAGGACTGGGGAGGCACGTATGGGTGTCAGTGTTGGGGTAGGCAAGAAGGCTGGGGTCTCCCCATTTCTTTGCCCCATCCTGTTTCCTCTCCCCTCCAGGCACTGATGCTCCGGCTGTGGTCAACTGTCTACACATCCTTGCCCGGTCACTGGATGCCAGGTGAGACCTCATCCCCTTGACCCCCCAGGCCTCCCCACCCTGACCCACAGAGGCCCTGTCAGAGAACCACGTCCCACCAAGCCTGGCTGCTTCTGTCCCTGCATCCCTTTTTGGCCCTTTCTACCCATCATCCGTCTCTCATCCTGAGACGGCACCTCAGAGGTAGTCTGGTCCAAGCCTGATTAGGGAGCCCCTCTGCGAAGTCACAGGAAAGAGGTCGTCCAGCTTCTGCTGAAGACCTCCCAGTGAGGAGAAGCTCTAAGTTTGCCCCGACATCAGTCCTAAACCTGACTCCTTAGGGCTGCCCAGATCTGTTCCTGAGCGTGCACTCTGGGGCCATGTGGGACAAACCTCAGCCTCTTGTATGTATGTTATAGGCCTTCAAATACTTCAAGACGGTTACTGTGTTCACACATACACACACACACACACACACACACACGCAAACACACACACACACTCGCGCGCGCGCACACACACACACACATCCTATCCAAGGCTTTCCTACTTCAGGCCAAACATCCCAAATTCCTCCAACCAGTCCTTATATGGTAAGGCTGAGATTCCTTCCAACATCCTGGCCGTCGTCCTCTGAACTCCTTCCAGAGAGTGTAAATCTCCTTGCTCACATGCATCCGCCAGAGTGGACTGCGTGTCACCCTCCTGATGTGGTCTGGCTGAGGCCAAGGCCCGGGGGACTGCTGCTTCCTCTGTTCCAGACACGAGTCCTCTGTCAGTGGGCCTCAGAACACATTAGCTTTCCTGGTGGCTCTTTCCCCTGTTTATTCCTGCTAAGCCGGCAGTCGGCTGCAGCCTTTCCTTGAGAATTGTAGTGTGGTACAGTCTAAAGAATAAGGGCAAAAAGAGTCCAGGGCCTCAGACATTTACCAGCTATGTGACCCTGGGCAAGTCACTTCACCCTGTTTGCCTCAGTTTCCTCACCTGTAAAATGAGTTGGAGAAGGAAGTGCAAACCACGCCAGTATCTTTGTCAAGAAAAACCCACGTGGGGTCATGGAGACTCAGACACAACTGAAAAACGCCTAAACAACAACAAACAGTCAAAAGAGCGCTAGGTTTGGAGTCAGAGGGCTTGGGTTCACATCCTGCTGTCTTTATGACCTTGGATGAGTTACTTGATTGCCGCAGGCCTCAGAGTCCTCATTTTTCAAATGGGGGCTGGGAGTGCAGACCAGATGGCTTCCATGGTCCCCTCCAGTCCTAATTCCATGACCCTCTCATCATTTCTAGTCTGCCTTGATCCCTTTAGATTGAAAGATCATTACCTAGCCTTCCCAGTTTTATATCATCAGCAAATTTGATAAGCATACTTCTATGGCATCATTCAAGTGATAAATGAAATGTTGAACAAAGCCCTACAGCACCCCACCAGAGACCTCCTTCCAAGTAGCGCTATAATGGGACAGCTAGGTGGTACAGTGAAGGGACAACTAGGTGGTGCAGTGAATATAGCACTGGCCCTGGAGTCAGGAGGACCTGAGTTCAAATCCAGCCTCAGACACTTAACACTTAGTAGCTGTGTGACCCTGAGCAAGTCACTTAACCCCATTGCCTAGCCAAAAAAAAAAAAGGTAGTATAACCAAGTAGCGCCATTGTGATGACTCTTTGAGCATGTTCATTCAAGCAGTTCCAAATCTGGCTGACCAACCTGCCCTCTAGCCCAAATCTCTCCATCTCATTCACAAAAATAACATGGAGACACTTGGTTGAATGCTTTGCTAAAAATCTAGGTAGGTTCTATTTATGGCATTGCTCTAATCTACTCATCTAGTAGCCCCGTCAGAAAAGGAAATGAGGTTAATTTGATGTGACCAGTTTTTGATAAAACCCTTTATAGAGATTACCAAAGTCTACAGGAAACTGACCTGGGCCATAGTTCACCTAAGTTTGCTCCAAGCTGCCCCTCAGAAGCCGTGGTGCTGAGAGCCTTCCACTCATGACCTGAGGACCTTGGAATCCCAGCACCTTAGAACTGGGGGTCACCTTGTCACTGTGCATGGATAGGAATGGCCTCTATGAAGCTTTGACTTGAGATCATGTAGCTTGTGCTTAGAGACATCCTGGACATATTTGCCACCCCCTCATAAGAGCTTTTGTTTATGTGGGTTACACCTACGGATATTTATCGTATTAAAAATTAAAATGGATATGTTTTTAAAATTTGCTTTTATTAATTCACTTAAAAATAACCATAAAAACCCATTGCATGACAACATAAATATCATATTTTTTAATAAAAAACACAAAATATTTTGTGAGAAGAATGGGACTGTTTTATATCTTTTTGCAAATCTCTTTCATGAGATTTGCCCTTAATAGAAGACAGCTGAATTCTCATATTTGCTTCTGCATCTAATCTGTTTCAAGGTGTAGCTTTAGTTGAAATATATGAATAAAAATAATAATAGCTAGCATTTATATAACATTTTAAGGTTTGCAAAGTACTTTACAAATATTATCTCATTTGAAGAAAATTCAGCCTCACACAGATATGTAGTCAGCAAAGGCAGGAATATTTTAATAGGCCAATAATGTCTTATTATTAGGAAAATTTTTGACCTGAAAGAGTCTGGACCACACTCTGAGAACCATCAGACTAGATGATTGGGGCCACTAGGTGGCACAATGGTTAGGGTGCTGGACTTGGAGTCAGGGAAACCTGAGTTCAAATCTTAATTTACTTATTGACTGTGTGACCCTGGGCCAGTCGTTTAACTTCTACCTGCCTCAGTTTCCTAATCTGTAGAATGAGGAGTTTGGTCCCTCTAAGGTCCCCTCCAGCTCTGGTGCTCAGGCCCCTGGGTCTTCCTCCACCCCCCTCGAGCTTTTTCCTGTCCCCCCAGGACCGTGATGAAGTCAGGTCCTGAGATTGTGAAGGCTGGTCTCCGATCATTCTTCGAGAGCGCTTCGGAGGACATCGAAAAGATGGTGGAAAACCTGCGCTTGGGCAAGGTGTCCCAGGCCCGGACCCAGGTCAAGGGCGTTGGCCAGAACCTCACCTACACCACCGTGGCCCTGCTTCCCGTCCTCACCACCCTCTTCCAGCACATCGCCCAGCACCAGTTTGGCGACGACGTCATCTGTAAGGGCAGCCCCGAGCCGGTCCTGAGGGAGGAGAGGGCCCTCTGAGCAGGGAGAGACCCAGGGCTCAAGTGTGGGGCTGAGGCTAGGAGGCCAATGGAGCTCTGTGGGGTGCCAGGGGGTCGGGAAGACTTCCCAAAGGATGTTGTAGAGCCCTACATAAGGGGAATTAGAGGGGAGCATTTCAAGGAAGGACAATAGAGAGGAAACCGAGATTCGAATCCTGACTCTACCACTCCTATCTACGGGACCCCAAGCAAGTCACTTAACGCCCATGGGCCTCAGTTACCTCATTTGTAAAACAAGGGCTGGTCCTTTCCAGCTCCAGAGTTAGCATCCTATGACCTCATGGGCCTCTTCTAATTCTAAATCTATCATCATATGATATATGATTTCATGTCCAACTTACCCCTTCCTCTTGCTAGGTTTTCAGTTTTCCCGTTTGTAAAATAAGGGAGGTTTGGAGTCAGTAATCACAAAATCATGGGATTTTGAGTGGGAAGAACCCATGAGGCCACGTAGCCCAACTCCCCCATCTTATAGCTGAGGATGCTGTGGCCAAGGGAAGAGAAAGGACTGGTCCAAGGTCCCACAGGCAGTAAGCGAATGACCGTGGGGCTTTTGGAACCCAGTTCCACCCGCTCCAGCGATGCTCTTACTACTGTTCCACACCACCCCCCTCATTTTGGAGGGGCAGTGAGGCCCAGAGGAAGGAACAGTCTTGTAGGATTTGAACCCAGGTTCTCTGCCTCTTTGCCCTGGCCCGTGGGGCCATGCTCCCCACTGCCTTTTGGTCTCTGAGGTCCATTCCAGCCCAGAGGTCCGACTGTTCCTCAAGAATTCAATGGGAAGGAAAGGAAGCCAGGGTGATCTCTGACCTTTGCCCTTCCTCCATCTCTCCCACACAGTGGACGATGTCCAGGTCTCCTGTTACC